TTTTTTGTAATTATGAGGGAACCTTTCTACGTTTATGCCTGAGTTGTGTTTTTTTTGTAATTATGAGGGAACCTTCTACGTTTATGCCTGAGTTGTGGTTTTTTTGTAATTATGAGGGAACCTTCTACGTTTATGGCTGAGTTGTGTATTTTTTGTAATTATGAGGGAACCTTCTACGTTTATGCCTGAGTTGTGTGTTTTTTTGTAATTTTGAGGGAACCTTCTACTTTTATGGCTGAGTTGTGTATTTTTTGTAATTTTGAGGGAACCTTCTATGTTTATGGCTGAGTTGTGTATTTTTTGTAATTATGAGGGAACCTTCTATGTTTATGGCTGAGTTGTGTATTTTTTGTAATTATGAGGGAATCTTCTACGTTTATGTCTGAGTTGTGTATTTTTTGTAATTATGAGGGAACCTTCTACGTTTATGGCTGAGTTGCGTATTTTTTGTATGTAGTATGACATACCCTAGATCTTAAACTGAAATTAACCTGTCCTGGTAGGAGTGGAAACTTCTCCTTTAAACCCAATACTGAATAAAGGTAAAACAGCTTTTATCGATATTGTATCAGAATTCCTCAGTAGGCTCGGCTTCTGAAATGTTAATTGATTTAATAGATATAGCAGGGAAACAGGCTTGATTATAAAAGGGCACGATTATAACTTTGTTCATATGACCTTTGAATGTTTGATACTAATATAATCCTAATTTAAAATCAGTGAACCTTGTTTTTGTAAATGTTCTTTATATTATTTTTTCACTACAAATTTATTTTTACCACTTTACATGTTTCCATTGTAGTTGAGATTTATTTCATTTAATAACAGAAAGTGTCACTCTCTATAACTCTCACTGCTGCAACTTGATCATTCCAGGATGAAATTCAACCCCTGTTCTTACGACATGAGGGATACCTTGGTGCCATTGGGGCCTTTTTGAGGGGTGCAGAAGAAAGCGATGAATCTGGTACGTGTTATGTTGATATTGTACTGGGATGGTAAAACACAATAATTATGTTTTCATGCTCTTACAATTTTATTTTTTCATGAACTGAGGGTTTTGTTCTGTTCTGGTTGATTGAGTATGAACCTCAATGAATCATGAGAAAAAGTAATTTGAACTGCAAGGTATTGTCAATATATGCATGAACAGAAAATTTGGAAAATAATATATATTTTTCCTTTGATGAGATATTGAAAGAAATCTGTAATGGGATGTAAGCAAAATTGTTTGTTACTGGACTTGATTGATCTCCATTGATAGTGTTTTCCCTGGCTTGATTTATCTCCATTGATAGTGTTTTCCCTGGCTTGATTGATCTCCTTTGTTAATGTTTTCTCTGGCTTGGTTGATCTCCATTGATAGTGTTTTCCCGGGCTTGAATTTGTATTTGGTGTGCATGTATTATGTTCTCTCCCAAAACAACATAATTATTCAAGAATCATGAAAAGACATGCGTTGTGAACACATAAATTGTTGGCACACAAAATTTGTTGTTGCTATACATTTCTGCATGGTTTGTCTTTTGCTAATTCGAGACCATGGTTTGTTTGTAGGAAGCCAGTCCTATACCTGGGGGGAGAACTATGCCCGCAGCTCTGGTCTCAGTAGTACCCAGCATTCCTCAGTCAACTGGAAACGCACAAGGAGCTCCACGGTAGGTACAATAAGCTCCACGCGTACGGTAGGTACAATAAGCAGTGAGTTCATGTCTAACTCTGGTTGAAAAATAAAACACTTGAGTGAAGAACAACTAAACTAATTATTAAAATTAAAATTAAAATCCTTTTTATTAAAATGTCACACATCAGAATACATATGTAAAACATCAAATTGTATTAAAATAACCACATATACCCATTCACCATTTCTGATGTCCATTCTTGAGTAAGAATTATGAGACTATAAAAACTAGTATAAGCTAAAATGACGATTTAACCTGTTGGCTAGGCCATTGTCTACATTTATGATATAAAAATCAAAAATATATGCCAGATAGCCAATGATTGTTGTTGCTGTTAGTTACCTCCCTTTTATATGCATTGACTGAAAATATTGAACACCAGTTAACTCATTCACCCCTGAAGTTTCAAAATGAACTATTCCAACCTTTGAATTGGGAGAGTTCAAATGTGTCTTCAGGGGTAAATGAGTTAATGAGAAACATCCTTATACTATGCTGTGTTCTATTACAACAGAAAAAATGGTTTGTGAATAAAATTGAACATTTAGCCATACTGAACTTGATTAATAGCTGCACTGTATGCTTACATAAAGGGTCACAAATATTTGATTAACAAACTCAAAAACATCCTTCTTGTTGTAAGTAGAAAACAGAGTGAGTTTATGGACTACAGCATACTTTTAGGTTAAATACTGTGAATATCTTAATTGAAATCATGGAAAAAATATGGGACAATCTTGGAAAAAATATGGGACAAACAAAAGTGAAAAATTCTCTTCAGAGATATTCTAAATGTTGCTTTAGTTTGATTTACTTGAGATAATCTTAATGTCGCTTGAGTTTGATATACTGGAGATAATCTTAATGTCACTACAGTTTTATATGCTGGAGATAATCTTAATGTCGCTAGAGTTTGATATACTGGAGATACTCTTAATGTCACTACAGTTTTATACGCTGGCGATAATCTTACTGTCACTACAGTTTTATACGCTGCAGATAATCTTAATATCACTACAGTTTTATATGCTGGAGATAATCTAAATGTCACTACAGTTTTATACGCTGGAGATAATCTTAATGTCACTACGGTTTTATATGCTGGAGATAATCTTACTGTCACTACAGTTTTATATACTGGAGATAATCTAAATGTCACTACAGTCTTATACGCTGGAGATAATCTTACTGTCACTACAGTTTGATATGCTGGAGATAATCTTACTGTCACTACAGTTTTATATGCTGGAGATGATCTTACTGTCACTACAGTTTTATACGCTGGAGATAATCTTACTGTCACTACAGTTTTATACGCTGGAGATAATCTTACTGTCACTACAGTTTGATATGCTGGAGATAATCTAAATGTCACTACAATTGCATTTACTGGAGATAATCTTAATATCACTACAGTTTGATATGCTGGAGATAATCTTAATGTCACTACAGTTTGATATGCTGGAGATAATCTAAATGTCACTACAATTGCACTTACTGGAGATAATCTTACTGTCACTACAGTTTGATATGCTGGAGATAATCTTAATATCACTACAGTTTGATACGCTGGAGATAATCTTAATGTCACTACAGTTTTATACGCTGGAGATAATCTTAATATCACTACAGTTTTTTATGCTGGAGATAATCTTACTGTCACTACAGTTTTATACGCTGGAGATAATCTTAATGTCACTCCAGTTTTATATGCTGGAGATAATCTAAATGTCACTACAGTTTGATACGCTGGAGATAATCTTAATGTCACCACAGTTTGATACGCTGGAGATAATCTTAATGTCACTACAGTTTGATATACTGGAGATAACTTTAATATCACTACAGTTTTATATGCTGGAGACAATCTTAATGTCACCAGTTTTATATGCTGGAGATAATCTTAATGTCACCACAGTTTTATACGCTGGAGATAACCTTAATGTCACTACAGTTTTATATGCTGGAGACAATCTTAATGTCACTACAGTTTTATATGCTGGAGTTAATCTAAATGTCACTACAGTTTTATATGCTGGAGATAATCTTAATGTCACTACATTTTGATATACTGAAGATAATCTTAATGTCACTACAGTTTTATACACTGGAGATAATCTTAATGTCACTACAGTTTGATACGCTGGAGATAATCTTAATGTCACCACAGTTTGATTCGCTGGAGATAATCTTAATGTCACTACAGTTTGATACGCTGGAGATAATCTTAATGTCACCACAGTTTGAAACGCTGGAGATAATCTTAATGACACTACAGTTTTATACGCTGGAGATAATCTTAATATCACTACAGTTTGATACGCTGGAGATAATCTTAATGTCCCCACTGTTTGATACGCTGGAGATAATCTTAATGTCACCACAGTTTGAAACGCTGGAGATAATCTTAATGACACTACAGTTTTATACGCTGGAGATAATCTTAATATCAGTACAGTTTTTTATGCTGGAGATAATCTTACTGTCACTACAGTTTTATATGCTGGAGATAATCTTAATGTCACTAGTTTTATATGCTGGAGACAATCTTAATGTCACCAGTTTTATATGCTGGAGATAATCTTAATGTCACTAGTTTTATATGCTGGAGACAATCTTAATGTCACCAGTTTTATATGCTGGAGATAATCTTAATGTCACCACAGTTTGAAACGCTGGAGATAATCTTAATGACACTACAGTTTTATACGCTGGAGATAATCTTAATGCCACTCCAGTTTTATATGCTGGAGATAATCTAAATGTCACTACAGTTTTATATGCTGGAGATAACCTTAATGTCACCACAGAGATAATCTTACTGTCACTACAGTTTGATATACTGGAGATAACCTTAATATCACTACAGTTTTATATGCTGGAGACAATCTTAATGTCACTACAGTTTTATATGCTGGAGTTAATCTAAATGTCACTACAGTTTGATACGCTCGAGATAATCTTAATGTCACCACAGTTTGATACCCTGGAGATAATCTTAATGTCACTACAGTTTTATATGCTGGAGACAATCTTACTGTCACTACAGTTTTATACGCTGGAAATAATCTTAATGTCACTCCAGTTTTATATGCTGGAGATAACCTTAATGTCACCACAGAGATAATCTTACTGTCACTACAGTTTGATATACTGGAGATAACTTTAATATCACTACAGTTTTATATGCTGGAGATAATCTAAATGTCACTACAGTTTTATATGCTGGAGATAATCTAAATGTCACTACAGTTTGATACGCTGGAGATAATCTTAATATCACTACAGTTTTTTATGCTGGAGATACTCTTACTGTCACTACAGTTTTATACGCTGGAAATAATCTTAATGTCACTCCAGTTTTATATGCTGGAGATAACCTTAATGTCACTACAGTTTTATATGCTGGAGACAATCTTAATGTCACCAGTTTTATATGCTGGAGATAATCTTAATGTCACTACATTTTGATATACTGAAGATAATCTTAATGTCACTACAGTTTTATACACTGTAGATAATCTTAATGTCACTACAGTTTTATATACTGGAAATAATCTTACTGTCACTACAGTTTTATACGCTGGAAATAATCTTAATGTCACTCCAGTTTTATATGCCGGAGATAATCTAAATGTCACTACAGTTTGATACGCTCGAGATAATCTTAATGTCACCACAGTTTGATACCCTGGAGATAATCTTAATGTCACTACAGTTTTTTACGCTGGAGATAATCTTAATGTCACTACAGTTTGATACGCTGGAGATAATCTTAATATCACTACAGTTTTTTATGCTGGAGATAATTTTACTGTCACTACAGTTTTATACGCTGGAGATAATCTTAATGTCACTACAGTTTTATATGCTGAAGATAATCTTAATGTCACTACAGTTTGATATGCTCGAACTGGACAAGGTAAATGCTCGTGACCACTGTCCAGTGCTACTTGACCCCGACACCTACAATCCAGACATGGTTGACCTTACCAAGGACACCGATGCCCGAGAGTACTGGCTTGACTGCTTCTCAAACACTGTGGATAAGGTCAGTCTGACACTTACCTCTCCAGCATTAACTCTTTTTTAAATCTGCTTATTTCTGAAAAAGAGATAATGCATATCTCCTTCTTTATATTACCTAGCTGATATAGATATTTATTTTCATGGTTTTTATTTTTTTTATTTTTTTTATTGCGTTAGTTTGAATGTGCTAATTTTTGACAAATGCTTAGTATATAAAATTGTTATGATGTGGCACATGGTAAATAGCTGTACATCATTGTTTTGTTCTAAATTGTGATGCATACGACTTGAAAAGTATTTACAATGAGTGGAAAAAAAATGATAATAAAAACATGCCTACTGTATATAGAATTGAAGGTTTGTATGCAATATCTCATTGATTAAGACATGAAATAATGTAAAAAAGAATTACAAATGACATGTTTTAGACAAAGGGCCTAGCCATTAAGAGCCAGATAAACTCACCTGATGCCGAAGAAAGGGCAGATAAGTTCAAGGCTAGCTACCTTGAACGTCTCAACGAACTTAAAGAAAATCCATGGTATTGTTGCCTATTTCCTCTCGCTTTTAGTTTGTATCTAGCCAAGAAAAAGTTTTTTTGTTTTGTTTCTATATCATTCAGAGATCTTAATTTCAATTTATACTTAAGTTCACACATACAAAACTTACCATTCCTAAAGATAACAATCCTGTGCTAATACTCATTACTTGTGACCAGTCAGGCATATCAATGACCAGCCATATAGATTCATTTTGATTGAATTGAACTCAATGTGTACTAGTTACACTGTCTTTTAATTATACTCCTCACTAAGTGAGGTGGGTATATGGTAATGGCTTGTCTGTGTGTGTGTGTGTGTGTGTGTGTGTGTCTGTGTGTGTGTGTGTGGGATTGATGAAGGTTAAGTGTCAAAGTCCACAGTACTGAGGTATCTGAACACTGTTTTGATTATTGCTATTGTGTGTGTTATTATCTGTGTGTATTGTTTTATTTAATCAGTGCCTATGGATTACTGACAGTGAGATTTTTATTAGACACCAGCAGCCATCTACTTCGGGACTTCCTTTTCACAGATCCTTACTCACAGGTTAGTGATGAAACTTTGCCTGCTTTTAACTTTTATATTGACATCCATATATCAATAGGCAGTGAGAAAAGAATGTCTTTTCAGCTAATAATCTGATATACAACCTATCACAATCTTGATTTTTCTTTAAATAGCAAAAGCAGACTGAGAATGAACTTGCCCTGCGGAGCCTGCCAGATCGTCTTAACTTTCTGGACAGTATAAGTGAAACTGACCGGGCACTTGACCTGGCCAGAGGTCTCATGGCCGGTAATGTGTTTGACTGGGGAGCAAAGGAAATAGTGAAGATAATAGAATCAGGACAGGACTTCGGGTTTAGTGAAGCTCTAGATAAAGTGGAAGGTTTGTTTAATAATAGTATGGTGATGATGAAAACACACAGTGAAACAGATGGAGTATTGTTCCCCATCCCATATTTTACTTAAGTTTATATAGAGAAATAGTAATTTTGAATATATTGTTATTCCCAGTGGGGAAAAATTCAAACTGTCAAGTTTGAATTTTGAATATATATGATTGGAGTTTGATGGTATAATAGTTAAGAGTCTGAAGCCTGGGAGGTGGGGCTCAAAAAGGTCAAATTGGCAAAACTTTTGACAATTTTCTTCTCCAGACCAAGAAAAGTTAGAATTAAATATTCTTGATGGATGGAAAACTCCTAAGGTGCTTTATCAAAAGTGTGAAATCCCTTACCCAAGGGTCACAATTATCCCCTGTTAAGTTTTACTGTATTTGTTCTTTCAGTGTTTTCTGACAATTTCTAGCTCTGTATTTGATACATATATATTGGTCAATCCTTAACTTCATTTGTCAGTATTGGAATAATATTTTTTTTGTCACTTCAAAACAACAAATAACAAATGTATTACAACTTAAGTGACTGTTTAATCCCATTGGTCTCTTGTTTAATGAAGTTATGACTTACTGCATACTGATAATATTTCATTGACAAAATTTAATATTAGTACCATTAGCATGAATGCTCACGTTTGTACTGTTGTCATGGCATAAAATAGGCCTTCTATATGATCTCTTCAGCTCGTCCCTGGCTGTGTGACTGCTTTGATGCCTGGTTTGAGAGGCTGAACAAAGCTCCTCCTCATCAGTGTGCTGTTGTGTTCTGTGATAACAGTGGTGCTGATATTATACTGGGGTTATTCCCCTTTGTAAGAGATCTCCTCACCAGGGGAACTAAAGTAAGTATCTTCATCCATTTATACAAGTTTAATCATAATAGTTCCAGAAGTATATAAGATATGTTTGAAGGTATAAGTGCTTTAGAAAATAAGCAGGCCAATGTACCTGTGCAGTGCTCCCGTTCATAAATAAAGTGTCCAAATTTGCATATTTCAAATGTAACAGGTTTTCAATGTCTCCAGGCATTTTAAATACAAAATTTGTGGTGAAATAAAGACAACCGCTTTGAATGTCAAAAATACTAGATTTACTACAAAGTGTCTAAACCATTTATTGTTTACATTTTTTTTAATGATACTTACTTAAACTTAAGATGTCTTTTGATGAAATTTTTCAGTAATGTTTTGAAAACAAAATCTGTGAATTTTACACTTGATTATTTTTTTCTAAGATTTAACTACCTGTACTGCTTTTACAGGTGATATTGTGTGCTAATTCCCGTCCCACTCTTAATGACGTCACCTTTAATGAATTAACAATACTTGTGAAGCGAGTGTCAGAAATCTGTCCAATCATCGACAAGGCCCTAAAGGAAAACCGGCTGATGCCAATGGAATCAGGACAGGAATCTCCTTGCCTTGATCTGAGGTAATCCGTCCTATTAGTTCACATCTTAGCATTTCTACAAGTCAGAATTATACCTTATATAGCTTTCGGTAACAGACTTATTAGCAGGTTTTTTTCACTTTTGAATCAATTGTTATATATTTTGTCATAGCAACTGTATGGATATGTAAAATATGTGTAAATAATTATTTTAAAAAGTCTTGACATTATAAAATGTTTTTGACATATTTTACTGAGGCCTGTTTTTAATATCCAAAATAATCCAAATCATATCCCTAAATAGATGTTTGCCCCATTTTCCCACTTTGTTCTGCCAGCAGAGTTTCTCTCACTTTTTCTCAAAAACAATAAGCAAAAATTTAATGAAACTTTTCATAAATGTTCATGAATATAATGGAAATGGCTTTTCGTTTTTTGATTGGTCTATGCATGATTGGTTGAAATTTAGATTTTGACCAGTTTTGCTCAAGTTTGGTATGTAGGTGTATAATGGTACTGCAAACACTACTCCAACTTATATAGCATCATTTGCGACTGCCGAGGTAGTTTCAGGCCCCTATCACACGAAGTAGCGGCAGCGTCTACATTAAGTTTTTGTGTTTAAGTTAGTCTGAAACTACAAGTGCTAGACTAACCAAACTTGACATGTGCATCGATGGTCAAAGCGGGGCACAGGCGAGACAATATATCAATCCGAATTGCTTGTTATATATAAAAAAACATTCATTTAATTCATACACACCTGTTATGATCATTACACACACTCTGCAGTAACTAGGAGATCATTTGACCACAGGATGTAGATTTTAAATGTTGGACTTAAACGAGGGAGTTTCAAGGGAGATTGGTGAATTTTGGTCAAAATGATGGAGTTTCCCTCCTAATGGGGGAGGGTTGACAGCTATGTGACAACAGGAGTCCTGCTAGAGTTTAGAAGGATGAGCAAAAGAGTAATATATAGATAATAACACATCTGTTATCAGGTGGTTGCTCCAAGATATTTGTCAGTATACTGATGTTTCCATTTTGTTTCCAGGTTGGTTGACCAGTCTCTAGTGAAGGCTATGGTACGTGAGAAGACGGACCTCGTTGTGATAGAGGGAATGGGGAGGGCAGTGCATACAAACTTTGATGCCAGGTTCTCCTGTGAATCACTGAAAGTTGCGATCCTCAAAAACAAATGGCTGGCCAATAAATTTGGGGGAGAAATGTTCAGTGTGATATTTAAATACGAAAATCCTGTCAGTGGGGACAGCAGAGACAGCAGAGACCGAGATAGCTGATTCTGTCTTGTGTATCTAGACACAGTTTTAATTAGACTGGCTCAATTACATGGATTGAAAAATCAAAAAGATGCTACTGAAGAACAGAGTTTAACTTGGAAAATAAGTTCTTGATAGTGTTCATCTAGGAGTGACTGAAGGAAAGAGTTAATCTGGCAATGCCTCAATCATACAGCTAATCTTCAAATAACTCAATCATAAAGTGGAGCTGATCCTTTGTTGGGTATATTTAGACACATTTTTAGTTGGATTAGCTCAATTACATCTATTAGTCAAAGTACGACAGATATACTCAAGAATAGAATAAACCAGAAAACCTAATATTTGAAAGAGTTTACCTAGGGGTGAGTCAATAGTTAGTCGGGCAGTGTCTCAAACGTATAGTCAATCTCGAAGCAACATGTTGTTGAGAAAAAATATCAATATAGAAATGTAAACTTTATTTATTTTAAAACAATTATGAAACTAGTTATTTCAACTGATATTAATTACTGTTGATTGCCCAGATGGTAGCGTGTGAGGGCCTCAATATGGTTGGTTGGGTGGCACAGTTGATAGTGCACTTGCTTTTCACCAATGTGGTCAGGGTTCGATTTCCTGATCAGACGTGAAGAGGTATGGGGTCACCTGCCCGACCACATGTGTTTTGTATCGGGGTAGTACTCCATTTTCCCCCCACATTAAGATCCTGCACGATCTACTGTTGAGGGTAATTAGAGTGACTCAGTTATGGAATTAATTATAGAGTGACTAAATTATCTACATCTTGTAGATGTGAGTAAAATTTAGATTTTAATTTAGAAATGACTTTGGAGTGACTCGATTATAGAGTTGATATAATAGTGACCAAATTAATTTATTGAGTAACAAACAGTTATCTCAAGTGGTACAAAGTTAATGATAGAGTTAATTTTCAGTTACTCATGTCAATTGATGTTACCGATATTATTAGAAATTTTGCAGTTACCGGATCAAATTGCTACTCTAGGGAATAGTGTTTTAGAAGCTAGTTTCACCTGTTTATGTAGATTAAGAGACAAATATTTGTATGCAAACTATGATTTATTTCTACACATGGATATATTCCTGAATTATTATAGTAATTGGACAGTTTCACCTGTTTGATAAAGAATTTTTGTATATGCATTGAAGAAAAAGCAATTTTTACATATATTTAAACACCATTATTTTCTTATGAATGATCACAATGACCCCTAGTAGTGTGAGAAGTGACGAGAACTTATTGTGACAATAAACTTGGTTACCATATTTTAGATTTATACTTTAACCTTGAGACTGCAAGTTACAGACAAAAACCAGCTTGTGTAAAGTTTGAAGTGATTAAGAAGACTTCATACCCTAAGTTATTTAGAAGCACACTTATAGTGCTTCTGAATTACTGAGGGTATGGAGTACCACTTCATTGTGTTCATGAATTACTGAGGGTATGAAGTACCACTTCATTGTGTGTTCATGAATTACTGAGGGAATGAAGTACACTTCGTTGTGTGTTCATGACTTACTGAGGGTATGGAATACACTTTATTGTGTTTTCATGAATTACTGAGGGTATGGAGTACCACTTTATTGTGATTTCATGAATTACTGAGGGTATGAAGTACACTTCAATGTGTTTTCATGAATTACTGAGGGTAAGAAGTACACTTCATTGTGTTTTCATGAATTACTGAGGGTGTGGAATACACTTTATTGTGTTTTCATGAATTACCGAGGGTATGGAGTACACTTCATTATGTTTTTTTCATGAATTACTGAGGGTATGGAGGACACTTCATTGTGTGTTCATGAATTACTGAGGGTATGGAGTACACTTTATTATGTTTTCATGAATTACTGAGGGTATGAAGTACACTTCATTGTGTTTTCATGAATTACTGAGGGTATGGAGTACCACTTTATTGTGATTTCATTAATTACTGAGGGTATGGAGTACACTTCATTGTGTGTTCATGAATTACTGAGGGTATGGAGTACCACTTTATTGTGATTTCATGAATTACTGAGGGTATGGAGTACACTTCATTGTGTGTTCGTGAATTACCGAGGGTATGGAGTACCACTTCATTGTGTGTTCATGAATCACTGAGGGTATGAAGTACACTTCATTGTGTTTTCATGAATTACTGAGGGTATGGAGTACACTTCATTATGTTTTCATGAATTACTGAGGGTATGGAGTACACTTCATTGTGTGTTCATGAATTACTGAGGGTATGGAGTACACTTCATTATGTTTTCATGAATTACTGAGGGTATGGAGTACACTTCATTGTGTGTTCATGAATTACCGAGGGTATGGAGTACACTTCATTGTGTGTTCATGAATTACTGAGGGTATGGAGTACACTTCATTGTGTGTTCATGAATTACTGAGGGTATGGAGTACACTTCATTGTGTGTTCATGAATTACTGAGGGTATGGAGTACACTTCATTGTGTGTTCATGAATTACTGAGGGTATGGAGTACACTTCATTGTGTGTTCATGAATTACTGAGGGTATGGAGTACACTTCATTGTGTGTTCATGAATTACTGAGGGTATGGAGTACACTTCATTGTGTGTTCATGAATTACTGAGGGTATGGAGTACACTTCATTGTGTGTTCATGAATTACTGAGGGTATGGAGTACACTTCATTGTGTGTTCATGAATTACTGAGGGTATGGAGTACACTTCATTGTGTGTTCATGAATTACTGAGGGTATGGAGTACACTTCATTGTGTGTTCATGAATTACTGAGGGTATGGAGTACACTTCATTGTGTGTTCATGAATTACTGAGGGTATGGAGTACACTTCATTGTGTGTTCATGAATTACTGAGGGTATGGAGTACACTTCATTGTGTGTTCATGAATTACTGAGGGTATGGAGTACACTTCATTGTGTGTTCATGAATTACTGAGGGTATGGAGTACACTTCATTGTGTGTTCATGAATTACTGAGGGTATGGAGTACACTTCATTGTGTGTTCATGAATTACTGAGGGTATGGAGTACACTTCATTGTGTGTTCATGAATTACTGAGGGTATGGAGTACACTTCATTGTGTGTTCATGAATTACTGAGGGTATGGAGTACACTTCATTGTGTGTTCATGAATTACTGAGGGTATGGAGTACACTTCATTGTGTGTTCATGAATTACTGAGGGTATGGAGTACACTTCATTGTGTGTTCATGAATTACTGAGGGTATGGAGTACACTTCATTGTGTGTTCATGAATTACTGAGGGTATGGAGTACACTTCATTGTGTGTTCATGAATTACTGAGGGTATGGAGTACACTTCATTGTGTGTTCATGAATTACTGAGGGTATGGAGTACACTTCATTGTGTGTTCATGAATTACTGAGGGTATGGAGTACACTTCATTGTGTGTTCATGAATTACTGAGGGTATGGAGTACACTTCATTGTGTGTTCATGAATTACTGAGGGTATGGAGTACACTTCATTGTGTGTTCATGAATTACTGAGGGTATGGAGTACACTTCATTGTGTGTTCATGAATTACTGAGGGTATGGAGTACACTTCATTGTGTGTTCATGAATTACTGAGGGTATGGAGTACACTTCATTGTGTGTTCATGAATTACTGAGGGTATGGAGTACACTTCATTGTGTGTTCATGAATTACTGAGGGTATGGAGTACACTTCATTGTGTGTTCATGAATTACTGAGGGTATGGAGTACACTTCATTGTGTGTTCATGAATTACTGAGAGTATGGAGTACCACTTCATTGTGTGTTCATGAATTACTGAGGGTATGGAGTACCACTTCATTGTGTGTTCATGAATTACTGAGGGTATGAAGTACACTTCATTGTGTGTTCATAAATTACTGAGGGTATGGAGTACACTTCATTGTGTGTTCATGAATTTCTGACGGTATGAGATACACTTTATTGAAAAGAGCTGTAGACTGCATAGACACTGTACATACCGGTTTTCCCTTGGCAGTGAACACATCATTAAGGAGTTATTATTTATTATGTGTTTTAATTTCCCCATATAACATAGGATCATTGAGGATTGTCACATTTCTTACACTGCCATGTGAAATGTTGTATAATTGTTTCCTTTTATTTTTATTTTACTTGCACGAACTCTTATTTTGTTAACTGAAATTTTAAATTATTTATGATGTTTGACTTCCCGCCGAACTACGTGGTAATTACAGGAAGTCTACTTTACTTGTATTATGTAACATGACAAAGAATGTATTGTGTACCAACCAAATCAATTGAAATCCCTCAAATTGTTACATATTTTAAAGAAAATGAAATGAAATATTTAATTATATCAACAGGAAACTGAAATCGGGTTGTTTCTATTGTTTGAATATATCGGTAGACTGTGTAATTTCTACACATAATAAAGATTGTTCAAGAGGGATAACTGTTCGCAGCTTAAAAAGAAAAAGAAAAAAATTGAAGGATTTTTTTACGTTTAGCTCTACGTATCAGACCTTAGTTCCCAGCATTACATAACAAAACACAGCTCCACACTCAAAAGTAATGTCAAAGAGGAGATCTTTCTGTCGTATTTTAAACCCCCCAGATATTTTCTCGATAACAATGTCAGATAGGTAACTGAAGTACTTAGTATTCAATACTTTTAAGAATGTGACTTTTTTGGCTCACCTGGCACAAAGTGCCAAGTGAGCTTATGCCGTGGCCGTGGCCGTCGTCTGTCCGTCATCCGGCGTCAATATTTTACTTTAAACGACTTCTTCTTAATAACCGAAAGGCCTAGGGTGTCGATATTTGGCCAGAAGCAAACTGGGATAGAGGGCTACAAAGTTTGTTAAAATTAATGACCTTCACCCATTTTCAAGGTCACAGGGGTCAAATATGTTAAAAACTTTAAACATCTTCTTCTTGATAACCAAACTTCCAAGGGTGATTGTATTTGGCCAGTAGCATGCTGAGATGAAGGGCTACAAAGTTTGTTCAAATCAATGACCTTCACCCATATTCAAGGTCACAAGGGTCAAATATGTTAAAAACTTTAAACAACTTCTTCTGAATAACCAAAATGCCCAGGGTAATGATATTTGGCCAGTAGTATGCTGAGATAAAGGGCTACAAAGTTTGTTTAAATAAATGAACTTCACCCATATTCAAGGTCACAGGGGTCAAATATGTTAAAAACTTTAAACAACTTCTTCTGAATAACCAAAATGCCCAGGGTAATGATATTTGGCCAGTAGCATGCTGAGATAAAGGGCTACAAAGTTTGTTCAAATAAATGACCTTCATCTATATTCAAGGTCACAGGGGTCAAATATGTGAAAAACATTCAACAACTTCTTCTGAATAACCAAAATGCACAGGGTGATGATATTTGGCCAGTAGCATGCTGAGATGAAGGGCTACAAAGTTTGTTCAAATGAATGACCTTCACCCATATTCAAGGTCACAGGGGTCAAATATGTTAAAAACTTTAAACAACTTCTTCTGAATAACCAAAATGCCCAGGGTAATGATATTTGGCCAGTAGCATGCTGAGATAAAGGGCTACAAAGTTTGTTCAAATCAATGACCTTCACCCATATTCAAGGTCACAGGGGTCAAATATGTTAAAAACTTTACACAACTTCTTCTGAATAACCATAATGCACAGGGTGATGATATTTGGCCAGTAGCATGCTGGGGTAAAGGGCTATTAAGTTTGTTCGAATGAGTGACCTTCACTTATATTCAAGGTCACAGGGGTCAAATATGTTAAAAACATTACACAACTTCTCCTGAATAACCAAAATGCACAGGGTGATGATATTTGGCCAGTAGCATGCTGGGGTAAAGGGCTATCAAGTGTGTTTTGAATGGCCTTCACCTATATTCAAGGTCACAGGGGTCAAATATGTGAAAAACATTAAATAACTTCTTCTGAATAACCAAAATGCACAGGGTGATGATATTTGGCCAGTTGCATGCTGACATAAAGAGCTACAAAGTTTGTTTAAATGTATGACCTTGAATTATATCATATTCAAGGTCACAAGGAGCAAATATGTTCAAAATATTTAAACAATTTGTTCTGAATAACCAAAAGGCTCAGGATGTTGATATTTAGTCAGATCAAGGACTACTATGTTTGTTAAATTGAATGACTTTGACTTATATTCAAGGTCAAAGGGGTCAAATTTGTTTAAAATCTTTTAAACGACCTCTTCTGAATAACCATGTGTCCCAGGATGTTGATACTTTGCAAGTTGCATACTGAGATGAAAGGCTATACAATTTGTTCAACATATTGACTCTGTTCGACTTTCAAAGTAACAAGGGTGAAATGTTTTAAAATCTTTTAACAGGTTCTTTTGAATGACTTTAATCATAAATACTGATATTTTGCCTGTAGCTTTATTTTAGATCACTTTTAAGGTTGCAAGTGTGAGATTTATACCAGGTGAGCAATGCAGGCCCACTGGGCCTCTTGTTTCAATATAAATGTCGAAGAGATCACTTTTATCCAATTCTATAGATAACGTGCTGTTTCCTCAATAATCATATAAATGAGAAGACTTATTACCCAAATATGTAAATAACATGACGTTTTCAATATAATCATGTCAGACAGCTAACATTCA